CGATGACGTTTTTGGGCTGAGGCCTCGTGTCGTTCGGAACGATGTCCGACGTTTTGCTCCACGCCCTCGAGGAGAGCTCCCCGTCGGAGCGAAACGTCGGGCAATGGAGCCGAACAACGCGCGGCGGGTGAACTCGCGCGGCCAGATTTCCCGCAAGTCGACGGGTGGCGACGAGCGAGGCCTTGCATTTCGATGTAAAGCTTCTTTCGTGACTGCAGGGATTCATCTTCTTGGCTCTTTCGGTAAAGTCACGTAGAAGGGAAATAATAAAATAATAAAAATAAAACATAATAAAATAATTCTCACGACGTTTCGGCCACAACGCAAGCAGCCGTCCTCACGTGAAGACCAGGTCTGTCGGGGAGACATTCAGACGCTGTCTCCCCGACAGACCTGGTCTTCACCTGAGGACGGCTGCTTGCGTTGTGGCCGAAACGTCGTGAGAATTATTTTATGTTTTATTTTTATTATTTTATTATTTCCCTTCTACATGACTTTACCGAAAGAACCAAGAAGACAAGACCTTGCACTCGAAGTAAGTGGCATTCATCACGATTGCTGGATTTCAACGTCTTTGTTTGGCTTAAATGCTCTGGAAATTGAGACACCCAAATGTCCTCAGAAAGAAACCCGCAAATGGGGATTACGCTCAGTCCAAGTGAAGGCTGCGGAGGGCACTTGGAAGCTTTATGGTTTCCTGCAGAGTATCATAAAGCTATAAAAACACTCGTCCATTTGCTTCGATAGAGGCGTTTACAGCAGGCCGGGAGGGAAAATGTACTTGCTCAAGCAGAATCATAGAGAAATAAATACAATCAGGCCGGGTCCGATAAACAATAAGAGGGGTGAAGGGTTTAGTGGGGGAAACACTCCCAGAGCATTTGTCTCTGTCAGCTCTTTCGTCGGGTTTTTGCTGCCCTCCGGAATGTTTTATTCGCTTTTTTTCTCTCTCTCCCGCCCCCCCCCCCCCCCAGAAAAAAAAAACCCCAACAAAAACTCTCTTCTGACTAAGAAAACACGAACTGTCCCATCCGAGCTGCACCGCACCCCGGCCTGCCCTGCCCGCACCCGCACGACGACGTTAGTCCGCTATCTTTGTTAAGTTTCTGCACCCACTACTCACGACGGGAAGACATCCACGGCGAAGCACGCAGCAACGTCGGGACCCACCGCCGGGAGAAACGTGACACTTTTTGAAAAACGACCGCGGATCTTCGAGATTTTTTTTTTGCTGCTAAATCCCGACGCTGTTATTGTCCTCGCGCGAGACAGCGCTGTTCTTCGTCACGGGCTGCAAGGGGATACTTAATGTCCGACTTTGACAAGAGGCTCCAGTTTAACGCCTCGTCTGAGGGTGATGCCATGGCGTACCGCTTACACCGCGCTGGATTACGATGCAAAGGTCACCGTGTTCCCGACCTCCCGGGGCGGCAGTTGAAGCAATCGACAAGTTTCTTAAATAACCCTCGGTCCATTTACCTCGGCCGTATCAATGGATTACCTGCGCAGTTAATCGATCGGCAAATTGCGCGCAGCGTTGTAAATTTTGGGTACCCCCGTTCTCTCCTCCTCCTACCCCACCCCCGCTTTTCCAAGCCGTCCGACTAACGCGGAACATTCGGCCGAAATACCCCCGGAGAGGGGGCTCCCTAGAGCTCCTGTTGGAGAGCCTCTAAAGAGCTCCCCCCCTCTCTCGTGGAGGAAGGCCTTTGGTGGCCAGCAGCGGCGCAAGCACGACATTGCACCCTCCCGTACCTCTTCCCCAGCACTGGATGAGCTGCGGTGCGGAGGGGAGGATGCCTCTGTAGCAGTTAAGCAGCGATGCACCTGCGCAGCCCAGGATGAGGGCCGCCACGTTCGTGGGATTTATCGGACCGTACTTCACCACGCTGACCAGTGCGGATGGGTGAAAGCGAGGAGCACAGACGTGGGAGACAGGAGTAGAGGACATTTCGTTGCACCGCTGCTGTGCAGCACTGCGGAGCTCTAGGTCAACCTATCTGTGCATCCACGAAATGCTTAGGCCCAAAGCCTTCTTAGCATCCGAGATTCTGACGAGAGCTGGCGCATTCAGGAATGATTTGGCAACAGGCAAGCTGGTACCATTCGCAAGGTTATTGCTCGTGGCATTAAATAACACTGCGGGTAACAACCTTGCAGGATTATTTGTTTTGTTTTTATGAAACCCACACACGACAAGGGCCCGGGCCCAACTCAGCTTCCGAGAGATGACGAGACCAGTGAGATGCTTCCAGCTGCTTCCAGCTTGCTTCGTTTGAATTCGTCTCATTTCTTGGCTGTGCAGATTTTTTATTACTGGTACATTTTCCCAAGCTTCCCATTCCCTCCTTTTATGTAATGTTTCCGAACGGGTCTGCGTCGCATCCAATAAACGTGACGCCCGTTCGGGCGCGAGTGTGGACGCTGCACCGCGCGTGATTGAACGTGCGCGCAGGGTTTTGTGGCGTGCTGTGACCATTGTCAAAAGGCATTGGGCATAGTGAGTGGGTGGGTGCTCTTATAAAAATAAACGCGTACCGGTATGTTTACAATGTGCTCGCATACCCGGTGGATTCAGCCCCGGCGCAACCGGGGGTTAGCACACCGAATCCAGAGGTCGTTGGTTCGATTTCCCGAGGTGGCGGTTGACACAATGGTGTAAGTTGGTGAAGTCACCCCACCACCTCTGTCCACCCAGCGGAGTATAAAGGGTACAGCCACTGTTCAATGATTGGAAGGTCACGCGCGGTGGTACGGTAATTGGTTTAGCCAGCGTAGAAGAGTAGGCCATCTACCCTTTAGAAGGGGCCCTTCTCTAGAGCTGCCTATCAACAGCATTGGCATGAGTTAGAAATCGCAAAGCTGCACCTTTACTTTTTTTTATTACAGTATCCAGAGAAAAGGAGAAATTCCTGAAATATCCCAAGCGTTGCTGCCCAATAGGAATGTTTGTATTCCTTCGAGGTTATTAAATTATTTACTCTTAAAGCAATCTGTTAAAGTGGACATCTTGTCTGGTCGACCCTGCAGTGTTAAGTTACAATTAGACATTCCATTAATCTTCCAGGACACAGCACCTTAAAACATTCTGCTCTGCAAACCACAATCCCAATTAACTACTACGGTGAAGGCAGTACAGCAAGCAGGTTTATGAACCATATGTGCATCTGTTTGTTCTCCTCTCAAATATATGACATTTTTCTGGGCACGATGGTTTCCTCCTACAAGTGAACATACGAATTAAACGAACTGGCCGCTGTGACGAGATTTTAACTTTCTCGCCTGGTATGCAGCAGGTCGTGGGGTGTATGTTTGGATACTCTTTGGTTTTTTCGGTAAAGTCACGTAGGTAAAAAATAAAATAAAGTAAATTAAAACTAATAAATTAAATCACGACGTTTCAGGCGCAACACAAGCGTCCTGCTACAGGTGGGGACAACGTAGCGAAAGCACAACCGCTTACGTGTGTCAAATCTAGAATGTATGTTTGGAGTTTGCATGTTCTCCCCCGTGGTCCCGTAGACTTTCATTCGGGTCCTCCGTTTTTTTCCTTCAAAATTTAGAAATGTGCGTTTAGAGTATTTGGCTGATATAAATCTCCACATGATAAGCCACTTCATTGGGCAATCATTTGTGGCCAAGTTGCTTTTGAAAAACAGCTCAGTGGGCCTTACCTGGTAAAATGAAAATAGTTTGTAAGTTTAGTTTTAAAAGTTAAAACAGGACTCTCTTATAAAGAAGTCTCTACACCCAGCGGAAGCGTTGCCTGTGAAAATAAATAAAATAAAAAACTCTATCGGCACCTTTGGCACCATCGCATCGCTCCGTGGGCCCTGCACAGAGGTAGGCAGCCTTGTACACACGAGGTTCAAAAAGAAAAATTGACATTATTGCTTTGATGATGATAATGAAAACTTCAAAAGAAAAATATCACGACAAACACAGCGTGTAGAGGCCTTCAACCAGCAAAGGAATGTAAATGAATGAATTCATGAATGATGAATATGATGATGATGCAGCATTTAAATATACACTCCTTTAAATGTTTAGACGGGTCACACTCACTCGAATCACCAAGTTACATTTCTGGAGTGGACAATTTTTATTGCCCTGATTTTTTTGTACGTTGCGCATCTTTGTTTTGGTTCTCAGGTTATACGCCGAACGACAAAACGCCTTTCAAAAAGTTGCTCAACGTACTTCAGGATCCAGCTCAGGACCTTGAACCCATCATCTGGAGCACAACCAATTCTCGTTTCACCAGCCTCAATTTAAACACAACCATGACCACATTTTTTAAATTATAAATTTGTGAACAGGGAATGATGCAACCACAGGAAATGGCACTCTCACCGGAAGACACAACATACAAACATCCGACGATGCCGCAAAAAGTAACGAAACTGAATTAATATTAGATCCAGCAGAAGCTGGATCTAAGTACGCACCTGGGTGGCAAGGCCATCTGTACGTATGTCCACAAAAAGTGCTTCCATAAAAAATGTCCCTTCGCTTTATCCCCATGCATGTCACGTGAGGATGTGCTTGATATCATATCAATTTCACTTTCGTTCCCCGCATCAACTGCACTGCAATTAACTCTTTCCCATTCCAAGACATGTGCAACTTGCAGGGTGGGTCCCGTTCATCGCTGAATTTCGGAACGCACAAGTGGTTCAGCGTGAATTTTATTTAGAGATGCGAAGCGCCGTCGTTTTTAAAAGACATTGCACTCACCGCAGAGAACTGTAACGGACACGACTGCACTGTATAGCTGACGCCAAACTGTGGCATGCCCTCCCACGTGGCCTTGCGGGAGCCTCGGTACCGATAAAGTTATTTAATTTGAGTGTACGTCATCGGAACGGAATCGGAAAAAAAACAATGACGTACACGGACGTCATCGGAATGGGAAAGGGTTAAAAGTGCCCGTGACAAGGGAGTAACCACCACGACGCCTCTTCCCCTCCCCTCCGCCGGCCGTGGCACGAAGGACTCACCGGTCTCGCTCTTCTCGATGACCTCGACGGGCTGGCCCGCGCGCAGGCTGATCTCGCCGCCCTGCTGCCGCTCGTAGTCGGCCACCGCCACGCACATGTCGTCCGCGTCGCCCTCCGTGTCCCCGTCTGCCGGGGGGGTCAGACACGCCGTGAGCCAGCGCGACGCCATGGCCGGCACGCGAGCGGCCGCACGGGCGTCACGGAGCCGGCGGGCGTACGAGCGGCGACCGGGGGCGTGTGGCGGGCGCCGCCGCCGCGCCGATCGTGCTCAGGTTGAAGCGGAGGGCCACCGCCCTCGGCCGGGTTAATCGCGTGAACCGGCCGGGTTTCAGGCGTGCGGTGAATAAGTTCTTCTTTATTTTGTCCAAGGGTTCTCTTTTTGACGATTGTCACGACGACTGAAAAGATATATATTGTCTCTGATATGAGGGTGAAACGATGCGAGCGTTGGCTTTTATTGGTGAACGCCAAACAGTAACGCGGTTTTTCCTTCGCAGTTCACTTTTCCGACGAAAAAACGATGGCAAATCCTAGGAAGCTTGCAGTGATACAACTCCGTCCTTGAGAACACGTGAAACATCAAATGATGTTTTCAATCAAGATAATTTCTCTGCGAAATTTCTCTGCGAAATTATTCTTGCCGATTTATTTTTCGTCTGGCTAATCAGCATTTCTTTTGTTGAACAATTAATGTTCATTTAGTTTTCCATTATTATATTTTTGTTTAAGCCACGAAGCCTCACGTCCGTGTTACTTATTCACGCGCATTGAATGTCTTACTTCACTGGGATGCATCAAGTCACGTCAAGTGGTGGTCGCTATCCGCGCTCCCACACAACACAATGTTTGGTATTTCAACCCTCCAATGTCTCTGTTTATTTTTTTTTCTCCCCAATCGATGCGCTTGCGAGTGTTCCCGGCAAACACGCTACACCCTCTCCTCGCGAGTCTCCAGCTATTCTGCTTGCCCAGCTATGAGGCTCAGGGGCCACAAGGAGAGACACATCCCCTCCCTCCTCCTCCAGCCATCTTTCATCTTGTCTTCCTCCTCCAGAGAATCCATCACAAAGCTGAATAATGTTTTCATGAAGTTCATTCATTCCCATTTCCTAGTAACTGGCTACCATTTTCACGAAGCATGTGTATGTTACAAAGTCCGTTATTTGTCCTTTTTAAAAATAATATTATTGTGTTCCCCACTGCACACAATTATTCTTATTTGCTCTACTCTAATCCCGTAATCTCTGCTTAATCTGCTGAGCTTTACGTATTAAATGTTTGGATTTGTATGACACGCACAGGACACGGGCTGTGTGTACTCTTGTAAAGATGAATCTCTTGCTGTGCTATACCACGTTTCTAAAAGCCATTACTAGTACCGGCTATTTTACAGCTGAATTAGCCTATCATTTATTTTACCACGTCACCCGTATCAATTACAGTGGTCACTCCTAATGGCTTGGCAGCATTCCAACAGTAAGCTAAACCTTTCTAAAGGCATTAAGCCATTCGAAAATGTAAAACATGCCAAAGTAATTTAAAAAAATCACATATAAAAAAAACACATTTTGCATTAAATGAGACGAATAATATTGAATGTGTGTAAAACACACGTATACTTTATTTATTTATTAAAATACCCATTTCAATAAAGTAATCTTTACCGATTCATCATAATCCCCTGTAAAAAATTACAGTGCAGATGAAAAAACACTCGTGCTCAAAACGATCCGCAAATCACTCGTCTGACTTAGCTTCAACAAAAAAAGCACATGTCGACCTCCCAATGACTATAGTGCTCCCAGCCAGGCTCAGTGACCCACATTGCAACATGACTATCAACACAGTCCATCCTTAAGCCCCCCCTCCTGCCCTGCCCTCGCAAGATTTTCTTTCTTTCTGCAATTGTTTATTTCTCCAACCCACGCTGAGGGGCAACACGTTGGCTCCTCGGCTCAAAGGAAGAGAAACAGCCATCCCGACGGGCAAGCGGCCACGTGGGCAACCAAAGCCCTCTTCCGATGGTTTTGCCACGTGTTGGGGGGCGAGGGCATCCTCTCGCGAGCGATTCCCCTGATTTTGCCACGGAGCGCGCGCGATCTTCAATCGGCGCGAGAGTTTTCCTGTCGGGCGAGGACAAACAGCTCCTCGCTCCCTCTCGCTCTCCTCCTCCTCCGCAGCGCGCCGCTTGAGCCAAGCATCACAAGCAGTCCGATGTTTGGCACCGCTGCCGTTCGCAGCCCCTCCCCTTGTCGTCTCTTTCCACCCGTCCTCCGAAAGGTGACACTCCCGACGGCTCAGTAGCTCCTGAACAATGCCCCGGCCAGTCCGTCACGGTCACCGTATCACCTTTCCGTCCGGCAAAACGGCGATGACAGCCTTGCACCCGACGACCGTAGAGCCTTTCATCTCGAGCGGTGTGCACGTGGGGGGGGGGTGTGGGATGGGAGGAACCTTCGCAAAGTTCCGGGCCGACCGGTGCTTGCTCGCCCGCTTGCTCGCAACGCTCGCTCGCTCTCACTCTTGCTTGCTTTGGGCAAAGTAAAATCCCACTCGGGTGCGCTGGCCAAGAGCAGACGCCTCGCGGGGGCAGCGCAGATGAGCGACCGTCGGAGTCTCTGCCGGCTGCCACATGGCAGCAGAGACGGAGCGCGGATGAGCCGCTAAGTCGGAGGAGGAGGGGGGGGGGGGGTGCTTGCTCCACGGTAAAGCACAATTGTTGTGATTCGATCACATGGCCCGGATTGAGTGCGGTGGGATCGTGCTGCTCGAGAGGGAGAGCGGCTGGGAGGAGGAGTGGTGGGGGGAGAGACTGGGTAGGCGGAGCTCGGTCGGCCCACTTCGGTTTTTTTTGGGTCGAGTGACGCCGGCGGACTTACGCAGCCCGCACTTGGGGTGCTCGCTAAGTGCCGGGGAGCCCCCACGGGCGCATTGCTGCCGCTGCTCGGTCGAGACACAAGGAAAAACGACGAGGAGTGTTTTTTTTTTTCCTCCACCCAGCCCCCTTTGCGCCGTGGTGCACGCTCGTGGGTTTTTACCGGAGCACTCCGCAACGAAGCAAAGCCAACGTTTATTCCTCGCAGTGTTTGGTTTGAAACTCAGTTGTTGCACGTGTTAATAATCACTGTCAGCTATAATCGATGCGCGCAAGCAGCTGTGGGTGATTTTGGCGTAATTGAAGTTTGGCGATGCGCGCTTCGAAAAACGGTTTTTAACTTTTCCTTTCGCGGACGCGTGGAACAAAGCCGAAACAAAACGGCGATCTCCGTCGATGACGCCCGATGGATGTGAGAGATGAAGCCAGAGGGCAGGAGGCTTCCACCCTGGCAGCGTTTCGGGCTGAATTTGCTGTTGTTTCCGTCTTGTTCAAAACGCGAAATAAAAAAAACGGCCACATTTTGTTGATGCCTTGCATGCGATTCGTGGACAGCGAGAGAGAGAGAGAGACAGAGAGAGATAGAGAGAGACAGAGAGACAGCCAGAGAGAGAGAGATAGAGAGAAAGAAAGAGACAGAGAGGCAACGAGAAACGAAAAAAAACTTGGCTGGCGGTGGTCGGACAGAGAGCAGGAGTTGGTTCTGCATTTGCAATCTCGCCTTTTTGACCCTCCGCCAACCAAACGCTGTCGCTGTAACATTTGGAAGACTGCTCTTGGCAAGCGGTTCGGAGTGGTGGGTGGGGGTAGTCAGCGATTCGAAAAAAGCAGCGCCCTTTTTAAATCCTTTATATTAAGTTCACTTGCTTGCTTGCTTACGACCGTGCAAATCTTTCAGTCGTTTTTTAACCCACTTCCCGTGATCCAATCGAGCTGACATTTTGCACACAGACTCGTTGTGCGTGACAATTAATTTTCGTGAAATTTTTTTCCCAAAATTTTACACTGTGTAGGGGAAAAAATGTAAATATTTAATTACCAATTGCTTAATGGTGGCAGACAATCATCTGACCCATAGGTGGCAGCAATCTCAAGCCAGAGGACGAGAGGACTCTAGCCGCCCGTTTCATGATGACGCAAATGTTGACTAACCACATGGCATGAAATCCCTGCCCCACGCTGTACAGTGGAGACTATTTATAGAGCAGTTACATTGAAGCCGCCAGGTTCTTGAAAGTGGTAAAACGGGTCAACGCTAATCAAGCATATAAAGGATTTATAGTGAAAAACTTTGTTTTTACGGGTTAATTTTTCAAATTTAGCTTTGACGCAAGCTCGCCGAGACGAACTTGCCTGCACGGGGTTCAGGGGTTTATGCGTGCAAAGTCCTCGCGTGCGGCCAGCCGGACGGACAGGGACGATTTTAATGTCTTCCCCCTCGTAGCGCCGTGGCGTCGTGAGCAAAGTGGCTCCGGCGATAGCGCGAAATGCTCGCAAGTGGAAAATTCGTCTTCTGGGTTCTTTCGGTAAAGTCACGTAGAAATAAAACATAATAAAATAATTATATTATTACGTTATTTTATTATGTTTTATTTTTATTATTTTATTACTTCCCTTCTACGTGACTTTACCGAAAGAACCAAGAAGATGAATCCCTGCAGTCACGAAAGCTTTAAATCGAAATTTAAGTGGCAAATTGCTCGGCGGTCGAGGGACCGGCGCCCGGTGATGGATTCGGGGACGGGGGGGGGGGAAACGAAGCCAGTCGAGACAGCAGATTCCGACACCGCACGCATCAACGAGAGACGGTTTTTCCCAGCCCTTGCACGATTTAGATACGCACGTACGTATGCACAGCCGAGGAATATATAGCGTTTGCTATTCCCGCACCTCCGATTAGCGCGGTTGGCTATGTACGGTTACGAAAGAAGTTCAACAAACGTCCTGTGCAAATTCCGTGCGATGAATGCACATTAACCGCCACGACGTACGGGATCACAAATCCGTGGATGTTAACAGAGGAACTGATCAGAAGCTGAAAGGTACGCAGATGAGCACTGAGAGGTGCATGCTTGTAATTACGTGAGCAGGTTGAAGGGAGGAAAACGCGGATGAGAGAACAAAATAAGTTGGAGATGTCGTTGATTGTTGGAGAAAATCAAGTCGACTTGGGGGTGCACGTCACGGGAAAGAGATGATGGCCGTGAGACGAGACTAACGACAAAGTGCCACCAGTGCCGACCAAAGGAGG